AATTTAAAACATTAGCCTGAGAAAGGGCTCATGGGCTTCTCTAGACTGTCAAAGGAGTCTAGGATGCACCAAAAAAGGATGAGAATCCCAACACTAGATGAACTTTAAGCTCCCTTCCAGTTCTAAGTCTATGATACTATGATTTCATCTGTGTAGGGAATTCCTCTATAAAAAACTTCTTCCATGATGCGGATTCAACCTATAATGAGTGCCACAGCTACTACATGGCAGTGGCAGGTCTTAAACTCAAGTCTTCCTGACTCTAAGGCCAGCCCTCTCTTCTCTACAACAAACCGCATTGTAAATATTTGACAAATGCTTGGTGAAATGAATGAATAAAAGGTCAGAGTTCAAAGTCAACCTCTCCGCTGTCCTTTCCCGGTTTCTTGTCTGTCTCATCCCTTCCTTCCCATTCCTGCTTCTGCCAGCAGAGGCAGAACAGAACTCCAAAATACATTACTATTACAAAAGTACAGCTATGCCTGTTTATATAGAGAGATTGGGTTTCCTTCAAATTAGTCATGTAGCATCATAGAATATTCAAACTAGAAGGAACTGTAGAAAACATCTAGTTCAGCAATAAGTCCAACAAGTGTAGGGGAGTTCATTTTTCATCACCACCACCCCCCCTCCAATGTAACTACAAGATTTTCATGAGGTGTTAAGCTATAAGTAATCATCTATACCCAGATACCTTTATGTGAACACCTTTCTCTAAACATATGAGAAGGGAGCGATTCCATTGACTGATGGAAGATACACATGATCCATATTTAACAGACAGTTTTTTAGTTCAAGAATACTTTGGAGAGGAGACCATATGGGGAGTGGAGGTAGAGAAAGAATCTCTTTCTCCTTCCTTCCATTGACCATGGCATCTAGAAAAGACTTGGCCAGGAAGAATCACCCCAACCAGCAAGCAGTTCAAGAGCTCAGAAGGGTCTGAGATAATTGAAAGAACACACTGGAGATAGCTACAAATGAAGAAAAGCAGTCACTTGAAGGAAGAAGCATTGTTGTTGTTGTTTGTCCTTCATTCTCAAAGAGGACCAGTGACATCAGAATGGTGATATCTTGACTTGCAAGTGAATTGGATTTAAGTGAGGCAGGGCTGTGCAAAGTCACCAGCCTCACTCTCTCTTCCAGAGTCATTAGAGTCCAGTAGCAAGACATAGGTCAAGATAACTGGTGATGGCCCCCAAAGGATGTTTAAAAAGCAAGATCCCTAACAGCAAAGAAGAGGAAAAGCTATGAACTTGAGAGAGATAGCCCCGGCAACTGAAAGTTGAACTGTTGGAGAAGATCAGACCCTGCATACCCAGAAAAGTGACATACCCAGCAGATATACTGCACCTAGAGGAGGTGCCTGAGGATTCTATGAAGAGAGGAGAGGTTTCCAGGCCCTATAGTACCAGGATTTGTCATTTATCATTGTCACACATATATTCTACATAAGTGCCTCATTACTATTATATTCGAAGTCTCTCTTACCATGGATTCTGTATGTATTTATGGGATAATATATCTAGGATTATAGGAGAGAAATGTTCAATAATTATTTACTATGCCAGAAGATTGTGAGCTCCTTGAGGGCAAGAACTATCTTTTACCTCCTTTTGTATCTCCAACACTTAGCACAGTGCCTGTCACTTAGTAGGCACTTAAACGTTTATTGAATGACCAGCTGCCATCATAGTAAATGCCTTTTCTGAAAGCTAATTGTGTCCACTAGATCAGAGGTGTCAAACCGTGTGCAGCAACAGTAATACTCTTGACATAGATAACATTACATTTTAAAACTAAGTGAATATGTGGGTGGCAGGGATACATATGTAGCAATCATTTCTATTTGAGCTTGATACCACTGTTACAACAGAGAGATCATAGAAAGCAAACAGGTAGGGGCTCCAGAGCTGTGGCTATAGTTTTAGTAGTGGGTACCCCCTAGAATTCTGGAGGCAGCAGCTGTACTCTGGGTATCCTACCTATGAATTTGAGTGCAACCAGGGAAAGGGAGGAATAGCACAGAAATTTGGCAATAGATTGAATATATAGGGAAGGTGAGAGTGATGAGTTGAGAGTGACATTGAGGTTTCAGAACTGAATGATTGGGAGGAGAGTAGTGACCTTTAGGAAAGGTAGAAGGGTTAATAGAAAGATAATGAGTTCTGTTTTGAACATGCTGAATCTGAGATACCTGCAGGATATCCACTTCAACATGTCCAAAAGGAATTTGGTGATGTTGGGCTAGAGCTCAGGAAAGAGACTATAGCTAGATGTCTTTGGGCATAATCTACATAAAGGTTACAACTGCATCAAATAAGTGTGTATATAGGGAAAAGAAAAGAGGGCTTAGGGTAAAGTGTTGGGAGACTCCAGTACTTAATAGGTGAGACTGAGAAGGAATAGTCAGATAGGTAAGAGGAGAACCTGAAGAGAGCAGTATCATGAAAATCTATCAAGGAGAGAATACCAAGGAGAATGTAATCAAGTGTGTCAAATGGCATATTATGTACTAGGCATTGTGCAAGGCACTGGGGATACAAAAACAAAACTATCTTTGCCCTTTGCCCTTTGCCCTAATATAAGGAGCTTACATTGTAACAGGCACGACAAGATGCACAAATATAGGAACATAAGGAGCAGATACAACACATATGCACAGCAGATACAAAGTGACCCTGGAGAGGACCACACTAGGAGCCGAGGATACTAGGCAAGGTTTCAGACGAAGGCAGCATTTGAACTGCTACTTGAAGCAAACTAGGGTTTCCAGGCAGCCTCACAAAAGAACAAAATAATTGGAAATTGAGGGGATGCCCATCAATTAGGGAATGGCTGAACAAATTGAGGTATATGAATGTAGTAGAATACTATTGTGCTATAAGAAATGATAAGCAGGCGGACTTCAGAAAAACCTGGAAAGACTTAGACTGATGCTGAGTGAAGTGAGCAGAACCAAGAGAACATTGTACACAGTAACAGCCACACTGTGTAATGACTAACTTTGATACTCTTAGCCCTTCTCAGCAATGCAAAGATCTAACACATCTCCAAAGGTCTCAAGATGGAAAATGCTACCCACATCCAAAGAAAGAACTGTGGAGTTTGAATGCAGATTGAAGCATACTATTTGCTCTCTTTTGCTTCTGTTTTGTTTTGTTTCCTCTTTCTTGTGGTTTCTTCTGTTGGTTCTAATTCTTCCTTACAACATGACTAATGTGAAAATATGTTTAATAGGAATGTATATGTATAGCCTATATCAGACTGTGTGCCATCTTGGGGAGGGAGGCAGAGAGGAAGGGAGAGAAAAATTTAAAATTCAAAAGCTTATGGAGGTGATTGTTGATAAATCAAAAAAAAAAAAAAAAAGAACAGTAACAATACCCTCTCCATACTCTTCCTTGGAGAAAGAAGCTATAGCAGCAGATAAAAGCTGTGAAGGTGGAATAGAATGGCAACAGCAAGGGGAGTTCCAGGGCTCTGCCAAGACAATTATGAAGGGTACAACCATGAACAGGAAGGCATTGACATTTGTCAGAAGATTGAACTGTAGGAGTTATTCTAGGCAAAACACAACCCCTCTTCACGTCAGATGATGTGTCCAGGGAGTGTTGACCACCCCACTAGCGTGGGAGTCTGTGGGAAAGTGCATCTGTTTTATGTATAGAGATTAAAAATTATTCTCTTGCTTGATTTCTCCCCATTGTTATTTCCATTTATATTCTGTTTCAGTTAAATGCCTTACTACTTAATTTGCTGTTGCTTTCGGGAAGAAACTGAAGCTCAGGGAGATAAACTAAGACTGTCTCAAAGTTATACAGCAAATAATGAGCTAAAGACAGACTAGAAGCCAGGTCTCCCTACTCCTAATCTTTCTGCCCACTACTGAGCACCACAGATTTTACTATCGTTTATTTTCCATGTTTTAGTACATGATGCATTCAGGTTCTGGAACAATACAGTTCATGTCCTAGGACACATATGGACACCAGTGAACATCTACATTTACCATAATGATGATACAAGAGGAGAAAGACCCAGGACCATACACTTTATTCTCCCTAACCATACCATGCTTCAAATCCTTAACAAGTTTCTCCCCTGAACTCACTCTGACTACTTTTGCCTTATGTTCTTTCTTTCTAACCTACACATTTTCAGGCCCATTGCATTATCTGGTTCTTTTTATTACCAGGGCAGAAGTAGTACTATTTACAATAGCAAAAAGTTGGGAATAAATGATACGCCCAATAGTTAGGGAATGGCTGAGCCAATTATGTTATCTGAATGTAATGGGATGTTATCAATTTAAAAGGAATGACAAATAGGAAAAACACAAAGAAATACAGGCAGACTTGTATGAAATGATGTCATGAAGAAAGAAGAACTGAGAGAGCACAATGACTATAATTATGTAAAAGAAGACATTAACCTACAAAAATAAAAATTAAAAAAATCTTAAGTCAAATAAAAAGGGCAGTGTTTGTACTAACTCGTTATAGTTGAAATCTTGTCTTCTTTTTAACCTGTTGGAACTATAAAAATATAAATTTAATCACATTATCATATTGAGTATATTGCTTTACTATTTTCTATTTTTGGAGAATATATTTTGTGGGTGGTTTGTCTTTGATTACATTTGCAAATTTAGCAATTAAAAACAAAATTCCAGGGTAAAAACTGTGATGCAATCAGCTCAATTCCAGATCCAGCATGTTAGGAATGTTCTTGGTGCATCTCCTGTGTAGAACACAAGGTAGCCCCTTTATTCTACCTCTATTGTCTCCCCCTCCCTGTGCCCCCACCATGCTGGATTCTCTCTGGCATATTGGCCCGTGATAGAGCTGTTTTACAATATCATCTTTTAAAAAACAGGATGATCTCCTCCAGGTCCATCTCTTCTTCCCCACCATCTCCAGCTATAGTCATCTTCACTCGTTGGTGACTCTTGCAGATACCCCAGTCCAGCCCTTCTTCTTTCTCTTCCTGTTTGTGTTGTCACCATGGTCTCCTTTTCCTCTTTCTGCTCCTATTGTCTCTCTTCTATTTCTTTTTCCCATCATTGTCATGACAAAACCTGCAACCAGAGCTGGTGAGACTTTGGCCACCATCAGGTCTGAAATGCCACCACTTTTCCCCAATGCTTCCTTTCTCATTCTGGATCTGCTTAGGACCAGTTCAACTCTAGTTCCACTTAAGACAGCTTCCATGGTTAATATAGCACACTTCTGGGCAGCAAATAGCAGTAGACCAAGCAAAAGTCATAGTAGCATTCAGGATATGTTGGTACTAGAGACCTTGGAGGCCTAGAGACTCCCCCCAGGAGCCTGGGTCCAGTTCTTGGTTTCTACCACAGGAATGCAACAATAGCAGCAACAATAAAAACGATGACGACAGGGGATAGAGGGTGGAGTGGTAGAAAGTGTGCTAGGTTTGGACAAAGGAGACCTGGATATGAATCCTGGCTGCTATGTCTACTAATTATGAGACCACAGGTAAATCTAAGCCTCTTTGAGTCTCAGTTTCCTATTCTATAAAAAGGGATGAGAAAACTTGCACTCTATATCTCACAGGGCTATTGAGAGAAAAATATTTTGTAAATTTCTATAGAAACATGAGTAATCACAATAAACAACTTGTATTAATTATGTATTGTGTGCAGACCATAAGGACCTGTACCTGACACTGTGACACTGTTAGGTAAATAATAATAATAATAAATAATAATAAAATAGCATTTCTATAATGCCTACTATGGCCAGTATGTATATAAAATAATATGTAAAACAAGTGTATAATTAAACAAGTATGTCATGTGAAACAAATATGTCATTTAATCCTCAAAACAACCCTGGGAGATAAGTGCTATTATTATCCTCATTTTATGTTTGAAGAAAATGAGGCAGGCAGAAGTTAAGTGACTTGCCCAGGGTCACACAGCTTTTAGCAAGTATTCAAGCCTGGATTTGAACTCAGCTTGACTCTAGGCCTATAGTTCTATCTACTGCACCACCTAGCTGCTTCAGAGCCTTCTAGTTCTAAACTCTATGAAATCTGAGTCCATTATCTAAGACCACAATGGGAATAAGAACATAGTATCAACTGCAGTAGAGGAAAGCAAGGAAAAGCAGATATGTAATTCCCCTACCCTCTGTGCCAATGACCAAGTTCCATAACTTCAAAGGAAAACTCTAGGATTCAAAATACTATATAGGAATAATGTAGCTGGCCTGGAGTTAGGAAGATCTGGGTTCAAATTCTATCTCTGACACATTCCAGCTATGTGATTGTGGGAAAGGCACTGAGCCTCTCAGTGCTTCGGGTAACTATAAATCAATCAATGAGCCAACCAACAAATATTAAGTGCCAACTATGTGCTGGGCACTGTGCCCTATAGGCTCTGGGGATACAAATTTAAAGAAAAAAATAATCCCTACTCAAATGGATTTATATTCTGTTGATGGATACAGTAATACATATGAAAATATATACAGCATAAATATTAAGTTAATAAATACAAATATATACAAGGTACTTTGGGAGAGAGGGCACTCACTGTTGGGGGATCCAGAAAGGCCTCATGCAGATGATGGCTCCTGGGCTGCATCCTAACAGAAGAGAGGGACTCTGTGAGGAAAAGGAAAGGAAAGAAAAGAATACATTCTAAGCATGGAGAATGTTCAGTGCAAAAGCACAGAGATCAGAGATAGAGTGTGGGGAGAAGAGAGAAGGCCAGTTTGGCTGGATTGCAGAGTATGGGAAAGGAAATAATTAACATCCAGTGAGGATGGTCAGGTTGTAAAGGACTTTAAAAGTTAAACAGAGGAGTTTACATTTAGCCTTAAGGCAACTAAGTGGATAGTGTGCTTGTCAGAAAGACCAGTTTCAATCCAGTCTCAGACACTAGCTGTGTGACCCTGGCTGAGTCATTTAACTTTTGTTTGCCTCAAATCTCCTCCACTGTAAAATGGAAATAATAACAGCACCTACATAGCTGGGTTGTTGTGAGGAATAAATGAGACTATATTTATAAAGTGTTTAGCTCAGTGCTTGGCTATATAAATGTTTATTCTCTTCTTTTTCTCTTCCCCCACCTTCCTTTTATTTTAGAGGCAATAAATAGGAAGCCATGGAGATGGTTGAGTAGGGGAGTCACATGGTCAAATCTGCACTTACGGAAAATTACATTGGCAGCAGTGTGTAGGATAGATTGTAGTGAGGAGAGACTGGAGGCAGAAAGACTAAGTAAGAGGATGTTGAAATAATCTAGGTAAGAGGTGATGAATTTAGGTGGCAGGTAAGTGGAGGGGAGTCCCATAGAAAAGCTGCAGAGGAATTTCCAAAAGGCATCTGCAGAGGGATTTTCCTTGCTGAAAGTTCCCTGGAACAATGAAATCACAAGGCTTATTCAAACCCCACTCCCTCCCAAAGCCTATGGAATTCATTGTTTCACAGAATCACAAAACTGAAGGGAAAATCAGAGGTCATTTAGTTTAACTGTGTGTGAACAGAAATTCTTTCTACAACATCCCTGATAAATGGTTTATTCAGCCTCCCCCAGAATGGCTCCTATAATGAGGCTCCTACAGCGGAACAGGAAGGATGCTCTTAGGCCACAATTCCATTCACTGTGTTTCTGTAACAGGAGATTCCTGTACAAATTAGGAACACATTTTGACTTCATTCTGAAAGATCTACACCTTTGGTCCCTAGTGCCCTGGGTCATCTCTACACTTTAATGCACTCTACCTGGTTTCCACCCTCTGGAACCATTTAGCCTTAGTCCCCCATATCACTGATTATGGCCTTCATCTTAGGTGCATGCGACTCAGATGTCAGGCAGAAATGCTACACACCACCTGTGTCCCCCTGTTCATTTTGATCTCCAGGTTTCATTACAATCAAAGTCTCCTTTGGAGCCTCCAATAGAAAGGAGGAATAAAGTTACCTCATTGTTTGCCCTACCCTTGCACATGGCCAGCACAATTGCCCAGGGAGCACAAGCGCACCAAACTTTTACCCATTCCCACTGGCCCCTGACAGATAAGAGTAGAGAATAGCAGTGGAAGGAAACCTTAGGGGATCAGTCTTACCTAAAACATATATAATCTAGTCCAGGGGTGACTAATTTAGTCAAAGGGCCACATTTGAGGACCTAGAGGGCCATATGTGGCCTTGAGGCCACAGGCTCCCCACACTTAATCTAGTCCCATCCATTGATCTCATCTTGTGATCATATGTGACCACATTTTTTTCATTTCTAACTTCTTGTGCTAATTATTCCTTTCAATCTCTCTTAAGTTCAAATCTCCTACTTCTCCTTATAATTTAAAATACTGTCACCTCCTTAGCATACAAATTCATAATTTTTGTTAATAAACTCCACTCACAAAAATGACATTTCAACAAAGCACCTACTATGTGCAAGGTAGTATGCTAAGTACCAGGGTTACAAAAGCAAAAATGAAACAGTGCTTGGCCTTAAGGAGATTATAATCTATTTTATAGATATGACATACACAATTATAAGCAAATATGAAAACTTGGAAGGCTGAGTGAATGGTGGCACACCTGGTAAAAATGATGACGGCAAATGTACTGTTGACAAGATGGTAATGCTGGTAACTTCCTACTGTAATTTCCAAATTAAGATGAAGGTTGGATAGAAAGGTTATCTTCTTAGAATGGATACTTAATTTTTTAGAACTGAAAGGATTTTCAAGAGGGAGAATACAGAGAGAAGAAAAGAGGCACAGGCAGAACTTTGGGGAACATCTACTTTAAGGACAAAAATCCAATAGAGCAGATAGAGATGGAGAAGTTAAAGATATAAGAGGAGAAACACCTAGGTGACACAGTGGATAGAGTGCTGGGCCTGGAGTCAGGAAAAATCATCTTCCAGAGTTCAAGTGTGGCCTCAGATACTTACTAGCTTTATTATCCTGGATGAGTCACTTAACTCCATTTGCCTCAGTTTCATCTGTAAAACGAGCTGGAGAAGGAAATGACAAACCACTCCAATATCTTTGTCAAGAAAACCCTAAATGGGGCCATGAAGAGTCAGACATGACTGAAACAACTCAATAACAACAACAAGAGAAGAAAGACCATGGTTGACTGATATCTCTGGGGGGATATGGGACTGATATCTCTGATATCTCAAGGGGGAGAAAGTATCCTGAAAGAAAAGTTGATTAAAATTGCCATATAGGATCACAGAATCATAGATTAATCATCAACTCCACTCCATTTTAAATATGAACAAACTGAGGCCAAGAAGGATTAAATGACTTTGCTCATGGTTACATAGCTAGTAAGTGTTTGAGCAGGATTTGAACTCAGGTCTTCATGATTCCATACCCAGCTCTCTATCCATTGTATTTCATGGAAGTAAAGGAGGATGAGGAGTGGAAAAAATCTGTTTTGTTTAGTTATTAAGTAGTGACAGGTAGCTTTTGAGAGAATATTTGTCACAAAATGGTTGGGACCATTTTAGAAGGTGAAGAAAACAGAATTGAGTGGTTAGGAATTGGAAGCAAAATGATCAGTAGTAGAAGACCAATGAAGTTAGTCCTATGACAAGGTCAACATACACATCTTTTAAGGTGGAGTTAACAACTGATAATTAAAATAAATTACACACACATTAATCATTTATAGTATCTTGTTTTTTTATTCATTAGTTGTCTTCCCTTGATTTTTTAGCTTATTTTTTCTTATGCTCTTTCTTATATATTTGAATACCTATACTTGACAAAGGAAGTTAAAATAAAACATCTTTAAGAAAAACAGAGAGAGGAAATAATATCAAAATTTGATATATTGGTCTCTTACAAGTTTTTTTTTAGCATAAATCAATTATTGAGAACTTGACAATCTCTGAATGAACTACAAATTTTCTATAAGCCTTTCATTGTTGTTTTTAACTACTTGTTTCAAGTCAATATGTACATTGTTCTTTAGTTTCTGCTTTCTTTGCTCTTCATCACTTTGAATTAAGTTTTCCTGTTTCTTTGAATTTGTCATATCAATCATTCTTATCTTATATAATATTCATTGTATTAATATTTCATAATTTTTATAGTTATTGTGAAACAATGGCTGCCTAAAAAAACCTGTTTCCAGGTTTTTTGTTATTGCAAATAGGACTGCTAAGAATATTTTTGTACAGATAGGTATTTTTCCCTTGTCAATATCATCTCTGTGTTATAGTTCCAGTAGTAAGATCATTGGATATATACATTTTAATTTTTTTATCATATAATTCCATATTGCTTTTTTAAAAAGTTTAGAGAAATTCATAATTCCACCAGCAGTGTAACAGCATATCTGTTTTTTTCTTTTCCTTTTTCTTTTTTTTTGCCACATCTACATCAGCATTACATTTTGATATCTTTAATTCGATGGAGGTCGAGTGGAATCACAATTGTTTTAATTTGCATTTTTTATTTTTAAAGATTTTGAACTTTTTTTTTTGGCGTAGCTCTTGACTATTTATTTCTTCTAAGAATTTCCTTTGGCTCCCACTTCTGGATCACTGCCTTCTTGTGGCAGAGGGGCTTGTGTAGCTCAATGAAACTATAAGCTATGCCATACAGGATTATTCAAGATAGACATGTCATGGTGGAGAGTTCTGACAAAAGGTGATCCAGTGGAGAAGGAAATGGTAAACTACTCTGGTATCTTTACCAAAAAAAACCTCATGGACAGTATCTGTAGACTTTGGGAGATAATGGAGGACCAAGTGCTATGGTCCACACCATCACTAAGAGACTGAATGACTGCACAACAACATCATTTGACCCCTTGTCAATTGGAGAAATACTCTTACTCTGATAAATTTGCATTGGTTCCATCGTATGTCAGACTTGGCCCAGAAGTTTCTGATGCAAGGATATTTCTCCTAGTTTCTTTTCTTCTTATTCTAGATGTTCCTTTTATTGTGGTACAAGAAGTGCTTGTTTTTTATATAATTAGATTAACCTAATTTTTCTTTTATAATTTCCCATTACCGTTTGTTAAAAATTTATCCTTTCTTGAAGAAAGCTATTCAGTTTCTGCTAAAGAAGTAATGAACTCAAAATGGAGAATGAGACACACATTTCAGGACATGGATAATGTGGGAATTTGTTTTACTTGACTATGCCTATGTGTTACAAGGGTTTGGGTCTTATTTTTTCAATTGGAGGGAAGGGGAGAAAATAAACATTTGCTACCTACTACCTTTAGGACAAAATACCTATTATGCTGTCATTTATATCCCTTCAGAGTCTGGCTCCAACTGATCTTTCCAGGTGATTACATGTTCCCTCCCTACACCCCAGTCTACATTCAGCCAAATTGTCCTACTTGATGCTCCCTGTAAAGGATGTTTCATCTCTGTTTCCAAGAATTTGCACAGGTTGTCCCCATGACTGTAATATACTCCATTTTCACCTCTTTTCATTCCTCCAAGACTCTATTCAAGTACAACTTCTACATGAGATCTTTTGTGATTTCTCCATTATCAGATTCTCCTACCATAATTATATGTGTTATTTTGTATATTTTTTAATTATTTGGTACATAGTAGGTACTTAATAAATGCTAGGTATTATGCCCAAAGGGTTATAAAACTGTGCATACCT